TTTTTTTTTTTTTTAATTTCCAGCTCACCCGCACAGTGAAGGGTCAGCTGGGGAAATCCTCTAAGAAGAACCCCCGCAGAAGCGCCCATGCGTCGGACCACCCGCCGAGGGAGAGGCCGAGCCTGCGGGGGGACGGCGAGGATGCCGGGCGGCAGGGGAGGGGGCGGGCGCCCCGGGCTCGGCGGCTTCGCGGCGCGCGGTCCTCGGGGGAGAGGATGGGCCTGAGGTCGTGAACCGCCACTCGAGCCCCCACCCCACGGGCGGGGAGGGAAAAGTTGGGAGGCAGCCACGCGGGGACGAACGCCCGTCTGCGCGGCTGGAAGAGACCGGACGCTCGGTGGATCGTCCCCGCCGCCGCCCTCGCCGCCGCGGCCCCTGCGTTACTGGGGGAGACGGTGCCGTTGCGACAGGGGAGGACGCGGCTGGAGCTCAAGGAAGCGCCAGCGCGCAGGCGCCGCCGAGCCCTGCCTGGCTGCTCAATCAAGGCACTAAGGCAAAAAAAAAAAAAAAAATCAGCAATTTATAGAAAGAAGAAGCTATAGTCTGTCGGGATATCCAACGCCAACAGGTAGGAGGATATACTCTAGGTTAAGTTTGGGGGGAGGGGGGCGCTCGCAGTGTGGATGAAACTGCAGGTTCACCGGGAAAGAGCCCTCCCTGAGGGTTTTGGGGTTTGGGGTGTGTTTTTTTTTTTTTTAAACAATAAACTGCATCATGGAAGTACATTCAGACAATGCATCTTCAGCAGGACTTACTGAGCGCTCCCTTTCTGGAGAGCGTTGCAGGACGGGGATATACAGGACTGCGAATCGCCGGCCACGGGTCCGTTGCAGCACGGAAGCGATCGCTCGCCCCATCTTCGCGTATGTAATGCATGTCTCTCCCCACGACTCCCCTCCTCCACCCCCACCCCACCCCCATGATAAAGCCAGGGGTGGCGGATTTCAGGTTTCGTAATGTTGCATGATGCTATCGGTATTTACCCGGGGATGTGCCCGTGGGGAAATGAAAACCGTGGACCGCAGCTTCGCCAGGGCTCCCGCCAGCATATTCTGGGCGAGTGAGAAGTGGCAGAGGCAGCCGGCTTCCTGGGAATAACCCAGGAAGGCGATTTCCCTGGTGTGGCTCGGAGGCGCCCAGGAGACAATGTGCTTTTTGTTTTCAAATGAAGCCACTTGTGATGTGCAACAAAGATCATCATCATGGGAAGCGTTTAATTGTCCCTGAAATGCTGGTGCTCCTGACATCCCTTAGAATCCAGCTAGTGCAGGCTTACGAGTGGACATGCATTATTCCTATGGATGTTCCCCTGCCAGTATTTACATTAACCATTTTTAATAACCATGTGGGCTTGAAAGAGACAGATTTGCCGAAAGAAGAGGGTGGGGTGGGGAAAGAGAGGGGGAGAAGAAACAAAAGACTTGAAGCAGGGCAAACCTCGGGACAAGTTCCTATTAATTTCCAAGCCTACTGTGGAAATCATGTTTTGAGGCGAATCAACAAATACTCTTCTGCGTTCTAACCTGCAGAATAGATCGTGGGACATAAGTTAAAAGGCGTATATTTTGCAGGGTTTCTTTGGATCCATGTCAGCAGAGAAGCTGCCTCTAAAACCCTGACCGAGACCAACAGCCCTGGAATAAATGTAGGTACTCATTCCTCAGCCCCTGTTAGCAGTCTTGTTGATTCCATGGCCGCACAGGTGATTATTAATTTCTGCTCTGGCACCTTTTACGATTGTAGAACATTTTATTCCTTCTGCCCTAAAGTTGCCCAAATATATGTTCTCCACATTTGGAGACATTAAAAAAACAAAAAAAGCCACCAGGCTCAGAAAACTAGACACCAAGTCTCTGAAATATCAAGCAAACATACTAACTAAAACAAATCCCACGATGACAAATCCGAACTGTATTTGCTTCCTCCCAAATGAACAGCTTTATGTTAACACTGACATCATTGCTTGTTAACTTAGGAACAGATAGCTCAATTTCTGTCTTTGTGTTTGTTTCCTTCAGATGCTCTGATGGCAAATCCAAAGGAAGACAAGAGGAAGTATGACTGCAGACCAGATCCGTTCTCTCTGTGGATTACATTTTCAGTAAAATGTACGGATATATGTTTTCCTTGTTCTTACCTTTAGATCATGAGACTTGACTGAGGCTGAATCCTTATCTTCCATCCATCTATGGCGAACTATAGCCATGCAGCTGACAACATTTTGCAAAATCTCTCTCCTCTAACAGCCTTTCTGAAACTGACTTCCTTGGGTTTCATCATAGGAGTCAGCGTGGTGGGCAACCTTCTGATCTCCATTTTACTAGTGAAAGATAAGACCTTGCACAGAGCACCATACTACTTCCTGTTGGATCTTTGCTGCTCAGATATCCTCAGATCTGCAATCTGCTTCCCATTCGTGTTCAACTCTGTCAAAAATGGCTCGACCTGGACTTACGGGACTCTGACTTGTAAAGTGATTGCCTTTCTGGGCGTCTTGTCCTGTTTCCACACTGCGTTCATGCTCTTCTGCATCAGTGTCACCAGATACTTAGCCATCGCCCACCACCGCTTCTACACAAAGAGGCTGACCTTTTGGACGTGTCTGGCTGTGATCTGCATGGTGTGGACCCTCTCGGTGGCCATGGCGTTCCCCCCAGTTTTAGATGTGGGCACTTACTCGTTCATTAGGGAGGAAGATCAATGCACCTTCCAACACCGCTCCTTCAGGGCTAACGATTCCTTAGGATTCATGCTGCTGCTTGCTCTCATCCTCTTAGCGACACAGCTTGTCTACCTCAAGCTGATCTTTTTTGTCCACAATCGAAGGAAAATGAAGCCAGTCCAGTTCGTAGCGGCGGTCAGTCAGAACTGGACTTTTCACGGCCCCGGAGCCAGTGGCCAGGCAGCTGCCAATTGGTTAGCGGGATTTGGAAGGGGTCCCACACCACCCACCTTGCTGGGCATCAGGCAAAACGCAAACACCACGGGCAGAAGAAGGCTGTTGGTCCTAGACGAGTTCAAAATGGAAAAGAGAATCAGCAGAATGTTCTATATAATGACTTTTCTCTTCCTGACCTTGTGGGGCCCCTACCTGGTGGCGTGTTATTGGAGAGTTTTTGCAAGAGGGCCGGTAGTACCCGGGGGATTTCTAACAGCCGCTGTCTGGATGAGTTTTGCCCAAGCAGGAATCAACCCTTTTGTCTGCATTTTCTCCAACAGGGAGCTGAGGCGCTGTTTCAGCACAACCCTGCTTTACTGCAGAAAATCCAGGTTACCAAGGGAACCTTACTGTGTTATATGAGGGAGCATCTGTACATCTTTAGCCTTGTGAAACACTAACCTTCTCTGCTAAGCAATTGTGGCCTGCAGCCATATCTTGAGAAGAAAATCAAGAATGGAATCAGCGGTGAAAAGGATGTGGGCAACATTCCGCAGTCTATAATCCTATTTTAAATCTCAAAGTGATCCTGCTGACTGCTGGTGAAGGTTTGTAATTAAGACAAGACTGAACCACTGCCCTAAGTTTCTTTCTGTGGTTGAAAAAACTAGATAATGAAAGTAGCAGGTGCTAAGTAATCAGTGCTAAATGCTGTGTATATCACCACATATGATAAAACAAAAAACACATCAAAACCAATTAGTATTGGACACCTTAATAAATTAAGTTGACATGAGGTAAATGTGTTGATAAAATCTAATTTTAGAAGTTTGAAGACTTTCAAACATTTCATACTATTATTGTTTTGCAAAGACTACAATCTTGGGGGACTTAAAGTACTGTAATCCACTAAAAATGTGCCACGAATTATTGGATCCTCACATTAAAAGAAAAACAAAACAAAGAATTGCCTTGTAAGTTTGGGGGAGCAATCCAAGGCAGTACACTGATCCCAGTAAGAGTTTACTTTTCGGTTTGCTTTTTGGGTGTATTACTACATTACTCTTTCTGAATACCACTTTCTTTTCCTACTCGTGAAATCCTCGCATTGCACTGTATACTGTTTTTTGTTGTTGTTATTGTTGTTGTTGGTTTGGTATAAAGTTTTTTCCAATTCATTTATATTTATGAATGCTAGATATTGGTCTGAAAGGCAACTATAAGGGCACCAACAGGAGCAATTCAAAGAATACAGAATAAACACATGTTGCCTTCAAGGGTTAGCTAGTATCTTACATCTTCATTAGCATTGGAACAAATAGCCTAGAGACTGTGAGAGTCAGTAACTGGTCATGATCAGGAGTCTGGATGTGCATGGAAGATCGTTGAATACTCTTTTTCCTTTCCTCGCCTGGTTGGAACAATTTCAAGGTATACATCACCTGGATACTGAGGTTTTCTCGTGAGGTGTGCTACCCATTCTAGTGTGTTCTAAGAAGCAGGCTGTTGATGTGTGTTCATATTTTAAGTCAGCTGTCAAGGGGAGACCACAGCCTTAGTATGTCACCCTGCACAATTTGTGAAGCATTTATTCTACTGAAGGCACAGTCTTGTTTATATTTTCTGCACATTCAGTGTATTTGGTCATTTAAATTATTTCAGTTTTAACTTGTGAAAGCTTATAATATTATTTCTGGTATTTTAGAAATACATTAGAGTCTGTGAGTCTCATTCTTTAAGATACAGATGTGTGAATTTCAATATAAAGTTGCATTTGCCAAAATTTACCCGTGTAGCCTGTTAATTTTCTTGGAATAAAATGTTATGTTTGGGGCATTTAACTCTTTTTTTTTTTTTTTGATCTGGGGAGCAAACACCAACTAGGAAGGCTAGTTTTATTATAGTTTTGATCTTTGTAGCTGTTCTATTCTGGAACTGGAGCTGGATGGTTGATAGGGAGATTACAGTTGATAAATTGAATGATGATATTACCTACAAGAGCATTATTTCGTAGATTATCATTATCACCCTCTATTTACCTGAGACATCCATTATATTTAGCGATATATGCCTGCGTAGCTGGTTGTTTCAGAATTTTTATATGAATGTCACATTTTAATTTGGGGGTGTAGTAGAAATTTTTGGTACTAAATATATAATTTGTAAGAAGCTGTTTTAAAATAACATGGTGACAATCGAGAAAAAGTCATTTCTGTTTTGTTGTTGGGTTTTGTTGTTCGGTTTTCAAACTTGAAAAATCAGATTAGGAATGTAATGGAACCGAATTCTTTATTGCCATAGTATTCCTTTAAATGGAAAATCCATAGAAATATGGGAAAATAAACCACTGAAATGTTTTAATGATATATGCAACTACTCAGCTTTGCTCCTGTCAGGACAGCAGAAGCCAGGATTCCATGAGCCCTCACTTTGACCTCGTTTTCACTTTATACCAAAGTTGACTGGATCTTAGGCAAAGCTTAATGCACACCAGTGAGCTGCATCTACATAGTAATAAAACCCTTTGTTGGCACTAAAATCATGGCCTGAAAGATAATACAGGCAATGTTATCAAAAGACATTTGATAACAATGTGTTTCTGTCTCCAAAAGTTTACTGTAGTGACCTAACTGTAATGATTATATTGATGTAGCACCTTACTTTAGATGTCATCAGAAATCAGTAGAAAACTCAGCAATAATTTCAAGGCCAGAAACACCAGGTTTCATTGCATGGACAAAAAAAAAAAAAGCCCAAATGACTGAAGTATGGCTTCAGCATTAATTCAGGAAGTTGAGGAGCGAATAGCAAGAGCCAAGGGAGGTTGCCTGGTTACATGTACCCATGTGGGAAAGATCTTTATCAAAGGTTTGCTGAGTGCTCCGCCCCTGTGATGAGTGAGTAATCCTTTAACTACAGTGGCTTTCCTGGACTCCCACTCCTGACTACACTGGCCTTTTGCAAGACCAGGAGCCAATAGTGGCAAGGCCATCAGTAGCGTTTAGAAAGCCCATATAAAAGAAAAGATCTATTTACTGGCTGAATGACCAAACCACATGATTTATTTTGGCACACATTCCAATATTTAATATCTTAAATAGTTAAGAATTAATTGAACTTGAAATGTTATGAATCATCGAGCCATAAAATATATACCCTCCCCAAGAAGTCCAGCTTCTCGGTGAGAAAGACCCATCATCAATGATAGCGTGTCCATCTTGGTGTAATTAGACATCTGAGCTAATGGTTTAAAGGTTTTCCTTCGGTGTAGTGGGATGTCTGCATGGATCTATCTTTTCCCAGTGTTCCTTGGCATCTCTTGTGTATCCGATCTCTCTTGACTCAGAGGGAACCCCATCTACTCAGAGCGTCAGGAACTTCTCACCCACACTTCACTTAGATGAATCACTCGTTTAGGTTTGGAGCCCTGGGTTCCGACGTGGTTAATGATGTGTATGAGGTAACGGCAACACCCTAGTGTTAAAATCCCTCCCAGGTCCTGACTGTGAACTTGCATAAGAGATTTCAGTTCCATCGAGGGCCAAGGAGTTCTCCTCGTTCGTTCTTTCACAGTCGTACCTTTCATGGAGTTAAGAGCAATCCTGGGTGAGCTTCCAACAAAGCAAGGGCTTTCTATGTGTCCTTTAGTGATGACTCCCAGCGGACCTCCCGGGGGCAACACAAATATGAGCAACGTGGGGGAAAGTTGAATATCTTTCATTACTGAAACATTACACCTCTTCAACCTTTTTATTGTTTCATCTTAGGGACACCACAAAACTCATCTCCTACCAGCTGAAATGCTTGCTAGGCCTCCAAAATTTAGTTCTATTGCAAATGCAGTGGAACATTTATAACTATATAGACGTATGCCTTCTCAGCTAAGCCTCACAATAATGAGTTGTATTCTAATGGGGGTTACTGTAGAACGGTTGCAAACAGAACCCAAACTCCACCTCTGGGTGTTCATCATTAGCTGCCTTTGCTTTGTTCCATCCTGTTCGTCCGCATGTAGCACACACTGCATTGTGATCAAACAAAAAGCAGCTGATCTTAATTTCACGTGAAAAAGAAAAGACAGGTAAATGGTGACATTACAAAGGCTGACGAAATACACAGGGCAAGGGGGATGGTTACCAGAATTGTGGGTTGTGGATGGTTCTAAATCCTTGTAATTCTCTCTATGCAAAAATACTTTACGTTCATGTTTGTTAATATGCTCTGATAAATGTTTTGAATGGAAATTGCAACATCTGTTAAGATCGTTGTTTCTTGCTGAAATTTTTGTTGTTCTCAACTCTGGGCATGTTCACTCTGCAAAAAGAAAAACAAAAGTCTACGCCACATTAAAATGATAGACCTGCGCAACGCATAAGTTCACAGAGTGGTTAGAATGAAGATGACATTTGTAACTGTACTCTTTTTGACTGCCAACCCAGTCAGATTAAGTTAAAGGCATATTGAAAACGGAACAATGAGCAGGAAAATTTTTGGAGGACTAACTCTTTGCCTTACACTGGAATGTGACGAGCTCTTAAAAAGATATTTAAACCAAACGGTTTTAACTTTATAAAAATATTACATAAATAAAACCAGGATTTTCTTTTTAAAATGGGGAAAGGAACTCTTCCAAGACCTCCTTTGGCCAAAGGAATTATGTTCATTAGCTGCTCAACCCTTTTGGGTGGAAAACCTTTTAAAGTCAGTTTTCCTCCCACCAGATCAGCTCTAACAAATATTTGCTTTTTCCACCCCAGGTATACTGAATCCAAATTTACATTTTAACAAGATCCCCAGGTGTTCTTAAAGAACCCCGTTAAAATGTAGATTGCAATGCAGTATATGTGGGGTGGAAAAGCAAATTCTCAGCAAGCCTGAACTGGTTCCAAGCCCTGCCTAAAAGGTTGTGAGAGGGTCTTAGAGAAATGAGGCTTCGAGGGGTTGTAGAGAAATGTGTCCAAGGAGCTACAGGTCATTTGGTATTTGGAGTTCTTCACACTTGGCGTCCGCAACAAACCCCCAGCCCAGGCACAGTCTTGTTTATATTTTCTGCACATTCAGTGTATTTGGTCATTTAAATTATTTCAGTTTTAACTTGTGAAAGCTTATAATATTATTTCT